TCTGCGCGTTTCCCCCCGAAGGACAGGTGCCCCGTGGGGTGCGCGGGGCCGCTGCCTCCCCAGCCATCGCCAGGCCCCTCGGGGGCACTCGCTCAGCTCTCCCTTCAAACCGCTGCCACGCATTTTCTTTAGGGGCAGAAATAGCATTTTCCTTTGTTTGGAAAAAGCGCTGGAGTGTTTAGAGCCCTGTTCTGTACTTGGGCAGGTTGGGGTTTTGCCTTGAATACGGGATTTTACTATTTTAATGAAATTGAGCCTTTAAAGCCTCTGGGGGCAGCTGCACAACCGTTTCCAGCGACCTGTGTCTCAAGTTTAGGGGGAATCTTTTAAAATACAGTAAATGCATTTATATTTAAAATGCATTAAGTATGTTAAGAGGTATTAGTACCGTTCTTGGCAAGGAGATATGAAAACGCACTGACAGGAAGGACCGAACCTCAGAAAACAGCTTGCCCATGGAGGGCTGTGCCCAGGGGAGCCCAGCCAAGAGCCTGGAAAGGGGGACCCTGGCTGCCTGCTGGCATGTCCCCCTCCCTCCGCGGGTTTCGGGTGTGTTGCTCTTTCTTGTCATGGGTATGAGTTGTTTACAGTTTACCTTTATTTCTCAGTCTCCTTCCAGTCAAATCGAAGAAAAAGACATTAAAAAGCAAGAGGAATGGGAGCCGGACGGTGAGGTAAGCCGTTGCTATGGAAACAGCATAAAACACTGCCTGTCATTGAAATATGCTCATATAGTTAATTACCCAGGGTTTTCCAATTAAAGCATAATTACTAATTACATTACCATGTGGGACACAACTGTATATTTAAAACTTTCCAGTCCTTAGATTCAGGATGCCTTCTCTTAGAGATGAGCTAGCCACGCAGCTATGAACTGCACCTTAATTCAGATAGTAGAGCTCTTTGTGTTAAGTAAACTGGCTACTTCGACTTTTTTATGTAAATTAGCATTGAGCATGGGCCTATGATCCCGGAGATCATGTTCCATTTCCCGTGGTCAGGGCACATGCCCAAGTTTCGGGGATGATTCCCAGTAGGGGGCGTGCAGGAGGCAGTCAATCAATGACTCTCATCATTAATGTTTCTCTTTCTTTTCCTCTCTCTGAAATCAATAAAGATATATTTAAAAAAATAATAATAATAAATAAAAATAAAATAAAACAGTATCGAGTGTCAACCTTTGGTAGGAGCAAAGGAGAGATTTGTGGACTCAGAGGGCTCCCTCTCATTGAGTTCAAGCAAAAGCTGGAGTAACAACTAGAGAACAAAGGAAGATGGTATATAAGTGTGTTGAATTATATGCCTACGTGCATGTGTGTTAGGTGTGTGGAAAAGGGAGATGCCAGTGGGTGTAGTAGTTGGAGGCTCTGGGCTCTGAGCTGGACCTCCAGAGCTGGGAAGGAGATAAGAAAAGTCTCCTGGAGGTGACAGTGGGAAGTGGAGTGATAGGGACTGGTGCTGACAATGACCTAGGGCTGCTGAGAAGGGGGCAGGACTTTTTTACAGCTGAGCAGTTAGAAAAAAGTGGGCTGTGTATGCTAACCGTAATGTATTCTCATGATTTTCAGGCGAAAAGTCAACCAGACTACGTAAAGGAAAGATTGAAGCTTTTTGAAATATTGAAGAAAGATCATCTATTTACCATTTATGAAAAAAAGGGGACTCCAGGCAATGTAATCACAGTAAGAGTGGCTGATGGGAAAACAGTGGAAGGGGAAGCCTGGAAAACAACACCTTACCAAGTGGCCGCTGATATTAGGTAAAGCATAGTTTGGAGGAGAAATTCAGTATTGTGTTGTGCCAGAGCTTGTTGAAAATGTGGTGTTCTTAGGGACTGCGAAAATCTCTTTTTTCTTACTCATTGAATAAATTAAATGAAGTCAGTTAATTTTTTCCTTTTGGCTTCTAACGAGGCCATTTAAGTAAATAGTTAAATATCAGAACACAATCTCCTCTTCTCGAAATATCCAAACTTAAAGGTTCTAGTAAAAAGGTATAGTAGAGGGAAAGGCATAGTCCTCGACAGGCCACACACACACACACACACACGGAAAAGTAACACCTCAATAGAAAATAGGCCAAGGAATGGACAGTTCATAAAAGTAAGAACGACCAGTAAATATTTACTGAAGTTAATAACTGAGTAAGTCGAATTAAAACGATCTTCAACAGCACATCGGAAAAGATTTAAAAAACCTTTTAGGATATGTAGAAGCGTGCCCTCAGACAGTATGCGTCGGAAATCTTTCAAAGGCACATGTCCTGTGACCTGGCAGTTTCACTTCCGAGGGCTCATTCCCAGAAAACAGCCCCAGAGGACACAAAGCGGCCTGTGCCCAGGTGTCTGGGAGCAGTGGAAGCTCAGCTAACCGAGTGTGATGCTTCTAGACTCTTGGAAGTCTATCTGATCACATGGCTGTCAAAAAGCAGGCTATAAAATTATCATGGCAATTATGTATTAAAAAAAGAGGGGTGTGGTGTGGTGTGTGTGTGTGTGTGAGAGAGAGAGAGAGAGAGAGAGAGAGAGAGAGNGCGAACTGAGTGTGATGCTTCTAGACTCTTGGAAGTCTATCTGATCACATGACTGTCAAAAAGCAGGCTATAAAATTATCATGGCAACTATGTATTAAAAAAAGGTGTGTGTGTGTGTCTGTGTGTGTGTGTGTGTGTGTGTCTGTGTGTNCAAAAAGCAGGCTATAAAATTATCATGGCAATTATGTATTAAAAAAAGAGGGGTGTGGTGTGGTGTGTGTGTGTGTGTGAGAGAGAGAGAGAGAGAGAGAGAGAGAGAGAGAGAGAAGGAGGGGTGGGTATAGAAAAAGACTGTGACCAAAATGGTATGAGTAGTTATCTCTGGGTGGGCAGATGTATATGTGATCTTAATTTTATTCTNGTGACCTACATGGTATAAGTAGTTATCTCTGGGTGGGCAGATGTATATGTGATCTTAATTTTATTCTCTGTTCATTCTCAGGAGCATATATTACTCTTATACTTAAATGGTACAAAATAAAAGTTTTCTGTCCCATTTAGTTTGCATTCGTCCTTTCTACCTGCTTAAAAAAAGAAACAACCCCTTGCAGTTATTTTAATCTTTTGTTTTAATGGATCGTGATAGCCTGTGATGAGGTTAACTGCCAAGTGACTTTTCTGTCCTAGCCGAGACCTGGCTGAAAGCACAGTAGTAGCCAAAGTCAATGGGGAGCTGTGGGACTTGGACCGTCCCCTGGAAGGGGATTCCGCTCTCGAGCTGCTGACGTTTGATACCGAGGAGGCTCAGGCTGTAAGTATTGAGCAAGCAAGGACCAGACGTTGGGTATTTAATTTGTAAACAACATGTGCAAAGTCACATATTAAAGTCAAGAATGAGGAGTTGCGTGGCCGTCTAAGGTTTAAAATGTGTACATCGCCGTTTAATAAGTAAGCATTCAATACGTTTTTATGACACCAGCACCAAGCGAATGGCTCTGATGCAGTTGCAGAGAGGGCTCGGAAAATATTCTCTTCTGGGTGGCATCAGAGATTTTCTCCTCAAATTGACGTTGCCCTGTGTCCTGGTGTTTGTCCCCGTTAGCTCAGTTTACTAATACGTTTGCGTGACGTGATGTGATAGCGAGCGGCTTGTGCCCTGTGCCCTGCAGGTGTACTGGCACTCCAGCGCTCACATCCTGGGGGAGGCCATGGAGCTCTACTACGGAGGCCACTTGTGTTACGGTCCGCCCATCGAAAATGGATTCTATTATGACATGTTCATCGAAGACAGGTAACACCACTGAGGATCCACTTCGGAGTGCCTGTGTTTTTGGCTCATTGTTTTATAATGGTTACATGTCAGTTTAGCGACTATGTGTTGCATAATATGATTATAGATTGGTTCATCGTTTTTGAAAAAAAATTTTAACGGGTTTAGGTTTAAGGGTACCTTGTCACATTTTTTTCTTTATTTTCCTAGAAGGAAGTGATATACTATTTAATCTGGGACTTGACAGAGCATGGCACTAATTAACACCAGAATTTCAAGGTTAATTAATCCCTAGAGAACAGTTAGTTCAGTTTTTCTCCGTGATGACTGAGGGCACTGTCCACCTTGGTCAGACATCTCACACGGATGAATATCAGATAGGGTGGTTCACAGAGGCCTCATGTTCAGCAGGTCTGTGTGTGAAATCAGCAGTAGGNGGGGTGGTTCACAGAGGCCTCACGTTCAGCAGGTCTGTGTGTGAAATCAGCAGTAGGGCCACTCCCAGCCTGCCTCCGTCCCTGTATTCCTTACACATAGTTCTTAAGGACACTCCCAGCTGCCAAAACTGAAACCTGAGGGTCCTTTCAATCCCCACCCTGCTCTTCACCCCACCCCACCACCCAGTCTTCAATCCACTTCTGCCAGTTTTATTTCCGAACTAGTTCTCCCACCCACCTCTCCTCTCTCTTCCTGCCTTCATTTAGACCCGTAGCATCTCTTGCCTTTGCCTGTAACCTCCACGCTGTTTAAATGATCCCTCTGACCAAGCATTTAGTCCTTTGTAGCTCCTGCTTATGGGCTCATCCAGTTTCATCTGTTACCACCAACCCAAGATTCAATCCACAAAATTTTGACTGCCTACTATGTGCTCTGTGCTTGGTTGTGGTGATTGAGCAGGGAACAGATCAGTGTGTCCTTATGGAGCTCACTGTCAGTTGGGGGAGACAGACAGTAAACAAAGAGCCATCTGCTGTCAGTGGGGTGAGTGCTATGAAGGGAAACTCGCCAGGTATGGGGAGGTCCGTGCCAGGGCAGGCAGAGGGGTCAGGAAGTGGGACAGTGACACTGAAGGGGGGCCAGAATGAAGGGAGGGAGCGAGCTCTGAGGCTAATGGGGGGATATTTATGGACAGTTAGGGGGAGAACATTACAGGCTCTGTGAGGCAGCCAGTGTAGGAACATGTGTGGCTTGCTTGAGGAATGGCAAGGAAGCCAGTGTGGCTGGAGGGGGTGGGTGTAAACCAGGCAGCAGCAACAGGGAAGTCAGTCGTTGCCTAGCAGAGGCCGCTCGCCCCTGTGAGCCCCTCACCCTGCACGGCGCTCCCCAGAGCTGCCTCCCAACCTCGACTCCCCAGTCAGCGAGGGCGGGACATGGGAGCACCGAGTACCACTCATATTTGTACAAAATGTAACCCTGTGAAAGATCGAGAAGATAGCACAGAACAGGCTTCAGAGGAGCTCACAGTCTGACCAGGGAGTCTCCCAACAGGGCTTTCAGACCGCAGGCCGCGCCTCGGGGACTGAAGGCAGATCACTCCATCCATTACTGCCTGTCTCCCTCTCTGGGAATAGGATCACCTGCTGCGGATGAATGTGTGACTTTCTGAAGTCCTGGTGCAACCAAACACCCATTTCCTCCATTGAGAAAGCGTGTCGATTGGTGGCAAAGGCCACAGGACCACGGTCCACGCAGGGAACGTTGTGCCTGAGGGGTCCGTGTTGACTGCCGCCTGGTCTTTTTCAGAGCAGTGTCCAGCACGGAGCTGTCGGCGCTGGAGAACATCTGCAAGGCGATCATGAAGGAGAAGCAGCCGTTTGAAAGACTGGAAGTCAGCAAGGACGTCCTCCTGGAAATGTTTAAGGTAGTTCCTGGGAGCTGTTGAGAAGAGGTGCTAGGAATGTTCAAAATAACTAACATAGACAACCTTTTTTTTTTTTAACAAATAATTGGCAGTTGCTCACCACATTGTTCCAAACGGTTCTCACCAGTCACTCCATGTGATATTTTTCTACTGTTTGTTAAAATTTTTAATGCAGATATAGATAGGTAAAGGGCCACATGAATAGTTTCTATATTTTACATTCCCACCAGCAATGCACAAGTCTTCCAGTTTCTCCACATACTCGCCAACACTTCTTTTCTAGGTTGTGTGTTGTTTTTTTAATACTAGCCATCCTAATGGTGTGATACAGTATCTCCCTGTGGTTCTGCTTTGCATCTCTAATAACTAGTGATGTTGAGCATCTTTTTATGTGCTTGTTGACATTTACATATCCTGTGTGGAGAAATGTCAAACCCTTTTCCCATTTCAAAATGGGTGGTGGCTTTTTGTGGCTGCGTGGTAGNTAGTCAAGCCCTTTTCCCATTTCAAAATGAGTGGTGGCTTTTTGTGGCTGCGTGGTAGTTCTTTATATATGCTGGATATTAATCCCGTTTCAAGGATTATTTTATTCCATTCTGTGGGTTGGGAACTAAAACCAATCACACCTTTGTAAAGAAAAATGTTTTGATTTGAACATATCACTATGAAACAGCTGAATCACGCAGATCTGTTGTTTTTTTCTTTCCAATAACTACTTTCTCTAAGAAGTTATTTAATATAAGGAACCTGGCACCATGATAATAGTAATGAAAGCAAAAAAGAAAGGAGTGTCTGTTAAGTGTTTAAATGGAACGATGTGATCCTTTAATATAAACTTTGTTTTTATACAAATCAATAGTGTAGCTATTTCCTCAGGATTTTGTATATTTCATGTCGTTAAAGTTGGAATCTTCTAGAACAGTGCTGTCCAAAAAGAAATATAATGTGATCCACAAATCTGACCCACATATGTAATCTTAAATTTCCTGGTAGTCCCCTTTTAAAAGTAAAAGAAAGGTGAAATTCATTTTTATAGCATTTTATTTAACTTAACATTATCAAAATACTACTTGAGTATGTAACCAACATAAAAAATAATGAGTGAGCTCTTTTACGTTCATTTTCTCACGTTATGCCTCTGAGATCCAGTGTATTTTGCACTCAGAACATTTCTCATTTCACTTTAGTTGCAATTCGAGTGCTCAGTAGCCACTTGGGCCATGGCTCCTGTACCAGGCAGCACAGCTCTAGGCTGCGAGTTCGTATCCCCAGGATCTCGGCACCTAGAACATAGTAAACACCCATTCAATGCTTGTTGGAAAAAGTAAATTTTCCCCACTTGGACATTTTATGTAATAATACGTCAATTTGTTTTTCTCTGTAGTATAATAAATTTAAATGCCGCATTTTGAATGAGAAGGTTAACACTCCAACTACCACAGTTTACAGGTAGGTAACGTGCGTGAATTTTTAAACTGCATAGTGACTCCCTTGAAGGCGTGAGCAGGAGGAGCAGATTGTCTCTGGGTGGCTGTCTGTCTGTAACTTTGCATCATGATATGCTCCTTTAGGTAGGGACTCTGAAATGTTATCTCCAAAGGGGAGTTACAGTTTCTCCTTTGTATTTATCGGAATGGTGCCGAAGCCCGCATTCTGTTTCCTGAATGTTCGCTGTGACACAGCATCTTTTCCGATGCGGGTGAGAGCGTCCGCCCAGGGCCTTACACTTTGGGGGCTCTTAGGGAAAGGGCTCCCTGTTCATTTTCCCAAGCTCTTACTAAGGTGGCAGTGGGAGCCGTTGTGGGCCATCCCCTCTGGTTCTCTGCCTCTTGTTCTACACCCCACTGCCCAGAGTCCAAAAGCATCCACCTTCCTATGTTTGGAAATTCACGATGCAATAAAACAGAAAATAGTTGGAAGCAAAGGCCCAGTGATGGTAAGAAATGGCAAGTGAAAGCAGCACCACAGCTACTTAGTTCTGTTAAGCACTAGGCTTCGGCGCCCCTGTTCATTCATCCAGTTTTTATGGGTCTGCTGTTCCCGTTTCTGTGTGTTCTAGCTCTCTGGCTGCTGCTGTGACCTGCATGGTCCCATAGTAGAGGATCCGGCATCTATATAGTTAATGATCATAAATATTCTCTGCCAGGGCACTTACTTTCCACTGTCAGGTACTTACTGTCCTCTGGCTCTTGTTGTTAATGCTCACCTGAGGATGTTTTTTGCATTGATTTTTAGAGAGAGTGGAAGGGAGGGAGAGGGAGGGGGTGAAAGAGAGAGGGAGAGAGAGAGAGAAACATCTATGCGAAAGAGACACATCGATTGGTTGCCTCCNGGAGAGAGAGAGAAACATCTATGTGAAAGAGACACATCGATTGGTTGCCTCCCTCACATGCCCTGACCAGGGCCGGGGATCAGACCTGCAGCCCAGCTACGTGCCCTTGACTGGGAATCGAACCAGCAACCCTTTGGTGCGGCTGATGCTCTAACTGCTGAGCCACACCGGCNAGAGAGAGAGAGAAACATCTATGCGAAAGAGACACATCGATTGGTTGCCTCCCTCACATGCCCTGACCAGGGCCGGGGATCAGACCTGCAGCCCAGCTACGTGCCCTTGACTGGGAATCGAACCAGCAACCCTTTGGTGCGGCTGATGCTCTAACNTGCTGACGCTCTAACCGCTGAGCCACACCGGCCAGGGCCAGTCCTGCATGTTTTAATGGTGGTGTCATCTCATAAAAACTTTTGCCTGAGAGTTGCATTCTAAGTCAGTGCTCTATTTTTAAAGACTGACAGTTAGGCNGGCTGATGCTCTAACTGCTGAGCCACACCGGCCAGGGCCAGTCCTGCATGTTTTAATGGTGGTGTCATCTCATAAAAACTTTTGCCTGAGAGTTGCATTCTAAGTCAGTGCTCTATTTTTAAAGACTGACAGTTAGGCTTTTTGTCATAAACCCAGAGGGCCTGAAAACAAACAAACAAGAAAACATTGAAGCTTGTTTCTTTATTTTTAATAGACTTTATTTCTTAGAGCAGTTTTAAGTTCACAGNACATTGAGCTTGTTTCTTTATTTTTAATAGACTTTATTTCTTAGAGCAGTTTTAAGTTCACAGCCAAATTGCAAGGATTTCAAGAGATTTCGCATTTGCCCCCACCCCACACATACACAGCCCCCCACTGCCAGCATCCCCCATCGGAGTGGTGCATTCATTACAGTTGATGAACCTGCGTTGACATGTCATTACCCAGAGTCCAGGGTTTACACCAGGGCTCACTCTTGGGTTGTACATTTTGTGGGTTTGGTAAGGTCAATCCACCAAATTAATGCCCCTGTGTTTATTTCAGATGACTGTGGTTTTGAAAATTAGTGCCGAGCAAGAGAATGGATTTTTTTTTTTTTGGGGGGGAATGGATTTTTGATTATACAACAACAGGAGGTTTTTAAGAGCCTTGGGGTGTCACAATTAAAATGGTGTCTCTGTATGCGGTTTCTTTCTCCAGAAGATTCTATAGCTTTTGAATTTGAGCAAAAGGGGGAGAAGACTGGAGTCTGAAGCTGGATGAATTGCCTCTTTCCTTTACCCTAAATCAAAACTTAAGTTAAATTAATTTAAACTGCCCCTGAATTAAAAATTGCTCCAAGACATGCAGTTAAGTGAAGTCCTTCACTTAAAACATGAGAACATGGTTTATAATGACTAGTCCGAAGATAACAGGGCATGTCCTAAATATCTCATTACAGGTGTGGTCCACTAATTGACCTTTGTAAAGGCCCCCATGTAAGACACACTGGAAAAATCAAAACCATAAAAATTTTCAAGGTAAGAATTTATTACTTTTAACATAACAAACTTGCCGGGCTGGTGTGGCTCAGCAGTTGAGCATTGACCTAGAATCCAGGAGGTGGTGGTTCGATTCCCGGTCAGGGCACAGGCCCGGGGTGCAGGCTCCTCGATCCCCAGCAGGGGGCGCGCAGGGGGCAGCCGATCAATGACTCTCCTCATTGATGTTTCTCTCTCTCTCCCTCTCCCTTCCTCTCTCTGAAATTAATCAAGATATTTTAAAAATTGAGAAAAAAACATATGACAAACTTAAGGTAAACAAAATACTTAGGAATTTCAGTCATATCTTTCATAATCTGAGCAACATGCTATTTTTAAAAAACATTTCATTATTTGATTTTTTTCATGGGCTTCTAAAAAGAATATGTATATTTTTTGAATTTGGATATTTAGGACAGCATATGTAGCTTTTAATGATCATTTAACCTTACTCTAAGTGTTACAGTGCATTTCTTTCTCACATGCTGTTTTACGATACCATGGTACACGCTGGTTTTCTTTTTGTTGTTGTTGCTAACCCTCACCCGAGGATATATTTCCTGTTGATTTTTAGAGAGAGTGGAACGGAGGGGGAGAGAGAGACATTGATTGATTGCCTCCCACATGCACCCCAACTGGGGCCGGAGAACAAACCTGCAACCCAGGTACGTGCCCTTGCCTGGGAATTGAACCCGTGACCCTTGGGTGCGCAGGCCGATGCTCTAACCACTGAGCCACACCGGCCAGGGCATACACTGGTTTTCTTGNGCCCGTGCCCCTTGGGTGCGCAGGCCGATGCTCTAACCACTGAACCACACCGGCCGGGGCGTACACTGGTTTTCTTGAATCACCCTAATGTGAGCACAAACATTTATCTGCATGTGGAATATGGACTGTAGGAAAAAAACAAAAAGGGGTCGTGGTGGTATAAGGAGAAAACGTTGCCCTGGGAATCGCGAGGCGTGAGACTGAGCTTGCAGTCCTGACTTTGGCTCTCTGGGCCTTGGCTTTCTCCCGGGTGGATGGGGGTTGATGACAGCACAGGCCTCAAGCATCAGCATTAGCCTGACGTCAGCGGGGGGTCGGCCAGGTGGAGCTTTATTTCCGGTGCCACCTTCCTCCGCTGCTCCCCTCTCCCTGATCTCAGCTGCTGGTTAGCCCTCCCTTCTTTCCACTGCTCTCGCTTTTCTTTCCCGGAGCCCACAGTAGACTCTGCGTAATTTACTGGTGGGTTTGGACTGGGAGGGTTTAGTTAGAACCAACTTAGAGTCTTCCCAGCGCTATCAGAAGTCGCCGTAAAGTGAGCTGTATCAACACTATATTAGGAAATTGTGTCTGTATTTAAAACTGACTTATTTATAACCAGATGTTCGGTCTGCTTACCAAGATGTGGTTTGATGTTTAGAATTCCTCAACATATTGGGAAGGCAATCCCGAAATGGAAACACTGCAGAGGGTCTATGGGATATCCTTTCCTGAGAACCAGATGATGAGAACCTGGGAGAAGGCCCAGGAGGAGGCCAAGAACCGAGACCACAGGAAGATCGGGAAGGTAGGCCGTGCACCCGAATCACTGCCGTCGAGGCACGGTCCTTTGGCGGCCTACGATTATGTCTCAGAGCTAAACGGCTTGAAAAATAATATCTTTTCTTCTGTGCTCTCTTTTGCCGGCACTCGGTTTGCTGTTGAGTTGTTTCATACTAACACCCCAGTGTCTTCTAACCTCTTTCCTTCCTGTATCGTCCATTAGATTTTAAAAATTGCACCCTTCTCTCATTTTTATCATGACATAAAAATAACATTGTTTTAAAAACGTATGTTTACTTTGAGAATATACTGTGTATTTGGGAAGCAGAGCAGAAAGAATGAAATTTGAAAGCAGGTAGACATGGGTTTTATTTTATTTTTAAAGTATATTTTATTGATTTCAGAGAGAGGAAGGGAGAGGGAGAGGGAGAGAGACATCAATGATGAGAGAATCATTGATCGGCTGCCTCCTGCACGCCCCCTGCTGGGGATCAAGCCCGCAGCCCGGGCCTGTGCCCTGACCGGGACTCGAACCGGTGACCTCCTGGATCCTAGGTCGATGTTCAGCTGCTGAGCCACACTGGCCGGGCTAGACCTGGGTTTTACTCTTGATTGTGCCACTTACGAGCTGTGTTCCATGCTGAGCCTGACATTCTCCTGTGGAACTCCATGTCCCCGACTCTTGCGGGCGGCCAGGAAGACTGATGAGAGGCCAGTGGCCACATGGGCTAGGCTCTCAGTGCATGAGAACTGTGACGATGGTCACCATCACTCACCGCCTCGCCAGCAGTGAGCATTTCTGATCCTTTTGTAGTGTTTTCTCCCCATGACATCCATCCTCATAGATGCCAAGTAAGGGATCTGGGTGGAGGAGGGCAATGGGGGGGTGGGGAAAGGGGGATGTCTGTAATACTCTCAACAATAAAGATTAAAAAAGTCACATGTCCTCAGGTGAGGATTAAAATAAAAGTAGCAGTCAATAAAAGGTGAAATAAAAGGGAAGTTCAACACTTGGTGGCCATAAATACGAACTGTAATTTCCCATGTGCTCTTACATGTAGCTAGACCTGAGTATCGGAGGCCTTTGGAAGGTCAATGATTAGAAAATGAGAATGATGACTGAGTATATATTTTATTTCTGGCATATCGTGTGAACAGTAAATGTTAAGCAGCAACAGTGAAATTTGAAACCCAGTTACTGCTTCTTTCTAGGATCAAGAACTTTTCTTTTTTCACGACCTGAGTCCTGGCAGCTGCTTTTTCTGTCCCAGAGGCGCCTTCATTTATAACACGCTTATGGAGTTCATCCGTGTGAGTTAATTCCTAAACTGTTGGACTCACTCAACTCTGTTGTGCATGTTACTGTTTCCTCTCATGGTAAAATGGTCCAGCATTTGCACTGATTCTGTTTTAGTCATATTAAGAATTTTGAACCTAACAGAGAAATACTGGATTGTGCCTTCTAATAAAAACACTGAGATAATTTGCATTTTACCCTAAATTAAATGCACCCTTGGATTTTATTAAATGCCTCGATTGTGCATGTAAGTTTCTAGAGCATGTTCAAAACGAAGATGAGATTAGGCCCCCTGTGGAGCTCTGTGAGAGAGGAAAGGAGGAGGCATCGGATCCGGCACAGGAGGCTGCACTGTGAAGCCCCGACTCTCAGACTGGCCCATGGGCCCCTGGTGCCCCTTCCTTGTCTGGTGTGTGACTCCAGGTGACCTGGCAGCTCCAGGGCAGAGTGAAAGGACTGCTCCGTAAAATACTCACTTGTAGTAGAAGCTCATAGGCTAGAAAGCCTCTGACAGGGCCGAGTGCTGTGGATACGGTTGAGAGGTGATCCACGCGGACTGTAGGTTGCATTCCCTTTCTTGTGCCCTTCTGTCGTTCTGATCATTAATGATCACCTGCAAGTTCCGTTTCCTCAGTGGCCTGAGTGCCTGCCACTAGTGCAGCCTCTGCTTCCTGTCAAGCCTGAAGCTCCTTGCGGCGTGTTTGAGGAGTCGGGCAGCCTCTCCGTCAGTTTTCAAGTTTGGTCTTGCTCCAGAACTGCGCCCGAGGCTTCCTTCCCTCGTCATCGTGGCTGCTCCCCGGCTCTTTCCTGTGCTCACCCTCTGCTCTCTCGATACCCTGGGTCCTCTTCCTGCTCATCCCTCTCATCTGGGGACGCCCTTCAAGAACTTCCGAGGAAAGAGTGCGGGGCACATGCTGGAAAAAACCATGCTCGTTTTTCCCCTTCTCTTCTTGCGCTCTCTGTGCTCCTGGAAGCTCACCTCTGTGGACTCTCTTACCTGGGCGACGTGCCTTTCCTGGGGCTTGGCCAGTGTGGAGCTGTAGAAGGAGATGGGAGGGCAGGGGGGTGAGACTGCTGTCAGAGACTCCAGCAGGGGTGACGGCGATCATAACTGCCGTTTCCAATGTGCTCTCTTTGCTGGAAAGCCAACACAGCCCCGGCACCTTGAACTCTCCAGGCTGGGGCAGAGTGCGCGGAGAAGAAACAGAAAGCCCCTGGGGTGGCCTTAAAGGGATCTCTTATGTCTTGTAGATGCAACACAGACATGGCTGACGGTCAGGCCCGAGGTCTGATCGTGTGAGGTGCAGAGGTGCATGTAGACACACAGCCCCGTGGTCTCTTATGCTGAGGTAAGGGCTGGTGGGAAGGGCTGGGCCCTGAGCCTTGGAATGGGGGTGTTTGGCAAGCACAGCTGAGGTGATAACTGAGCTCCCAGATACCCTTGTCTGAAGAAGCTGGCCTTTCCGCGCAAAATACGCACGCACGCACACACGCACGCTCCTTACAGGAGCATTTACTGCTCTTTTTCTTCGTTTTCTGTCATGTGGTCTTACCTCTTCCCATAGCTAGTGATTTGTTATTGATATGCTAGGTGTTGTGTATAAAACAGCTGCAGAGGCTCTAGGGTCAGAACTGCCGGATGCCGAGGACCCTGCTCTCTTCTGCCTGGGCTCCGGCTCTGCCCTGTCGGTCAGCTTTCCTTGCAGGAAACGGCCCACGTGTACCTCAGAGAAGCTTTCTCAGGGCACTCAGTACAGGTTTTCTGTGACATGGTGATCTCCCTGTGTCTTCGCGTCAGCTTTCCTCTACGTGTGTCTCTCTCTCTCTCCAGATGTCCTCTTTATAAGGACTCAGTCACATTGGATTAAGACCCACTCTAATGGTCTCCTCTCAACCTCATCACCTCGATAAAGACTGTTTTCAGATAAGGTCGCATTCTGAGTTTTTGGGGGCTAGGACTCCAACATACCTTTTCTGGGGGGATACAACTCAGCCCGTAATAGTGGGTGACCTAAATCTTCTTCCCGGAGGATCCACTTTCTTAGTGATCCCGTCTTTAGTGCGCTGCTAGGGTTCTGCACTGGCTGTCGTTCGACATGGAAGTGCTCGAGGCTCCTCCCTGCATCCCAGATGTCCTCTTACAGCAGCTCAGTCTCTCCCAAGGAGTGGGGTCAGTCATCCTGGCCAGAGGAGTAGGCCATTCTCTGCCCATTTGTTCAGTAGCATAGGGAGCCCCACACAGGCCAGGGACAGCCTCAGCTCCCTTCGGAGGTACGTCTGGGTGTTTTGGTGAAAGGGTTTTTTCCCTGGGCACATTATTGAGAGATTCGAAAGCTTTAGAGATAAAGAAAAGATTCTAAAAGTTTCCCGAGAGAGAGCCACAGACATAGCACTAGGTATTGGAATGGCAGTGAAATTTGCAGTGCAAACACTGAAAAACAGAAGGCAGAACCAGTGCCTTAAAAACGTGGGCCCTAGAAGTCTCTACCAGCTGAAGTGGGCTTGCTTCTGGGTCCTCCTGTTTGGTGTCAGCTTTCCCAGGTCTGCCAGGCATCCTTCCCCTGCTTTCCCGATTCCAAAGAAAGTATAACTGCCCTCCTCTCCTTTCTCTGGCTTTGTACATGTATGCTTTTATAAATACTACACACACATATATAGTATTTCACTTGCTGACTTTTAAAGAATTAAAGCATTATATGCTATTTTATACTATAAAATAAATATACTTAATGTAAAAATTATACTGAGCGTACATTAATCTTGCACAATCCTGAAGGCACCACACCTAAAACTGAGGGCGTTAATCACAGATTAATATAAGATAATCCCAAGTTTCAGCTGTTTGCTCACGGTGTTACTTTGCATGGCCGTGACCTGTCAGAGCGATTTGAACTTGAACACGTTTCTCTCAAGGAGGAATATCACCGCCGTAACTTCATGGAAGTGCTGTCCCCCAACGTGTACAACAGCAAACTCTGGGAAGCCTCGGGCCACTGGCAGCATTACAGCGAGAACATGTTTACCTTTGACGTCGAGAAAGACACTTTTGCCCTTAAACCCATGAATTGTCCAGGGCACTGGTGAGTAGTAAAAGTTGAGCAGCCCTGGTCGGTGTGGCTCAGTGGGTTGGGTGTCGTCCTTTGCGCCAGGGGGTTGCTGGTTTGATTCCCTGTCAGGGCACATGTCTGGGTTGCGGGCTCCATCCCTGGTAGGGGGCGTGCAGGAGGCAGCCGATCCATGTTACACTCTCACATCGATGTTTTTCTCTCTCTCTTCCTCTCTCTTAATATCTCTCTAAAAATCAGTAAACTATTCTTTTTTTTTAAAAAAAAAGGCAGCCTTTGAAATGAATTGTAAACGGTAAGTGGAAATTCCCTGGGTGAGTGGGAACAGAGCAGCATTGCTGGGAGAGATGGTAGGCAGGGTTCTTAGGGCGCTGTAGTCACACAAATTCAAGGCTCAGTAACTCCTAGGAAAATAACTTTTTTTAAAACTCGTGATCTAAGAACCAGAATAAACTGTTGACAAATCTTGAGGCTTAACTGTAATTTGTTACTGTTTCGCTAACTACTTGGTCTTCTCTCTGCTGAGTAAAAGCTGTGTGCGATCACCTCTTTTCTAGCCTAATGTTTGCACACCGTCCGCGATCCTGGAGGGAAATGCCTGTCAGATTTGCCGATTTTGGAGTTCTGCACAGAAATGAGCTGTCGGGAACTCTGAGTGGCCTGACCCGAGTCAGACGCTTCCAGCAGGATGACGCTCACATCTTCTGCATGGTGGAGCAGGTGAGCAGCTGGGTTAACTGCAGGCCCGGGGTGCGGGCTCCTCGACCCCAGCAGGGGGCGTGCGGGAGGCAGCCGGTCAATGACTCTCTCGTCATTGATGTTTCTCTCTCCCTCTCTCTGAAATCAATAAGAAGCTATATTTAAAATATACATATTTCATTTGCTCTAATTTCAGATTGAAGACGAGATCGAGGGGTGTTTGCAGTTTTTGCAGTCTGTTTACTCCACACTTGGCTTCTCCTTTCAATTAAATTTGTCAACAAGGCCTGAAAACTTCTTAGGACAGATTGAGTTATGGGACGAAGCTGAAAAGGTAGGAACAAAGTGCTTGCCCTTTGTCGTCGGGACTACAGAATACATCGAGTGCCCGGTCCCCTTGTGTGAAGGTGCTGCGCTTTGCAGTGGAATCTTAAATGGGAAGCTCTGGGAAAAATACGCCTATTGCAGAATGCAGTTACCCCATTTTCTTCCTAACAGTGATAACAGCAACACCGTACATTGGTTTCACACTTCAAAGTTTATATAAAGGTTCATTTACACTCCTTTCAGTGTCGGTCACCAATAGCCAGTGTCGTCATTTTTGAAGAAATCCTCTGGCTCCTCCTTCAGCTGCTCTGGTCTGTCCTCTGCCACTGGAACCGATGTAAATTCATCTGCTCCTTGGAGCTGCGTTAACCACACTCCAGCTGCTCCTGTGTCCCGTTTCCAGAGCTGCAATGAGCCATAAGGTCCCTAAGACCATGGCAATCCTGGCCCGCACAGTTTTGAGCACGTGGACGTGTCTTAGCCCAGCACGTGCACAGTCCGACCTCCAGTGCTGTGGGGAGCCAGAGACCTGGCTTACTTGGGGAAGGGGGCAGACAGCAGGGGAGACATACCCAGAGCCATCTTAGCCACGCTTGGCTACTCCCGTCCGGCCTTCCTATCCCTGTGTCCTCAGTCCCAGTGACAAGCAGTGGCCACTGCCTTATGCTCTTCCCCCAGGCCTGACCTCTGTGTGGCTTTTAATTCCCTGAGAGACCCCCGAATTTCTCCCATCACTTAGTTATCTGCTGTGGTGAACACATACCAGGGTCTTTTCTTTCAAACAGTAAAGGAGGGAGGTGGCCTTCCAGTCTGTGAAGTGCATCCGTGGTGCTGGCCTTCTCAGTCATAGGTAGAAAGGACGCTGCTTGTGGGGCTTGGGCTCAGGAGGGAGCCTCCCGGGATCTCAGCCAGCCCAGCCCCTGACCCACTCTGACCGAGACCCTGGGAGAGCCAGCTGGGACCCCAGACTCAGCTTTCTCGCTAACTCTGGCTTCAGCTCCAAGACACCACCACTGTTTGACTTCCCATCAGGCACTTTACCGCCAAATGTCAACCCCTTCATGGGCATCAGTGTCTCCTGTGATGACAGGAATCTGAGTGGCGTTTTGGCAGTATTCTGGCCAGGGACTCCGGAATGCCTACACGCTTCCCAGAGAAGCTGTGTTCACAGGTAATAGCCAGGAGACTCCAAGAACCCATTTATTCCCACTTCTGTGTGCCCCAGTCACCCAGGTGAGCGCCTTCACTGCACACGAATGAATGAGTGAATTCACGAGGCTTAGGCCCTCCTCCCGCACCCGCATACAGCCCACCTACCTGTGCAGAGTGGAGGAAACGCCACGGAGAGGCGGCGGCGCCCTGGGTCCTGCCCCCCTAAACAGAGTGGAGGAGGGGCAACACCAACGCTTCCACGCCTCTTCATGTGTGGAGGGCCCACCTGCAGGAGCTGGTCTGGGAGCTCGCGCTAGGAGATGGGAGCTGAGAGATGGGGAAGGCAGAGAGGGGACCTGCAGTGGCGCGAGGGCCGAGGCGTCCCTCCTAGATGCTTACCTGGAGGTCACTGGACCAGTTTAGCAAATCGTCATCTTTCCCCACCAGATAAAATGTGTTCCCTGAAAGCAAGTGCCATCTTTATCCCCTTTATGTAGTCTTTGCTCAGTGGCTTATTGAGTGCAAAAGATGCTCAATAAATATCTGTTGAACTAAAATAGAACATAATTAAGATTTATAAGAACTTTTTAAGTCAGTGACCAAAAAAAGTAGAAATTTTAAATGTTCTTTTTTTTTTTAAAAAGCAACTGCAGAATAGCTTGATGAAATTTGGAAAACCGTGGAAGATGAACCCAGGAGATGGAGCATTTTATGGCCCTAAAGTAAGTAAACCATATGCTTCCAAAAGAGTACAGTTTAAAAGAAAAGCAGACACCGTGTCTAAGCAGAGCTCATTTAATTTGCAGATTGATATCAAAATCAAGGATGCTCTTGGCAGATACCATCAATGTGCTACAATCCAGCTGGACTTCCAGCTCCCTATTAGATTTAATCTCACGTATGTGAGGTAAGTGATTAGATGTGATAAGTAATGCAGTACTGACGTCCTAATTATTTGTCACCGTGGAGTGTTGAGAGTTCTTTATATATTCTAGATTAAAGGCCTTTGATTTATATATATATATGATTTTGAATCTAGAGATCAGTTTGGATAGGTTTTACTTAACTATATGAGTCTTCCAACCCATGAACTTCTCTGATTTCTTTCATCAGTTTTTATAGATATTCAGCAAACAAGTCCTAGACATGCCTTGTTAGATTTATACCTAAGTATTTCATTTGGGGAAGACACTGTAAATGGTATTAGATTCTTAATTTTGGCATCCATATGTTCATTGCTAGTATTGAGAAACATAATGATTTTGTGTGTTGATGTTGTATCCTGAGACTTTGCTGAACTAACTTATCAGTTCTAGGAGGGTTTTTTCTTCCTTGTAAAATGTTGGGGATTTTCTGTGTAGACAGTTACTCCACCTGCACACAGGGATTTTTTTCCTGTCTCTCTGCCTTTTATTGCCTCCTCTTGCCCGTGGCTCTGGCTCGAGCTCCCAGTGCCGTGTCGAATGCACTGGGTGAGGTGGGCGCGCTTGCCTTGTCCCGGTCTTAGGCGGAAGGCGTACGGCTGCTTCACCTCTAAGTACCATGTTGGCTCTAGGGCTTCGTAGATGCTGTTCATCAGGCTGAGGAAGGTCCCCTCCATTTCTGGCTTTCTGAGGGTTTTTAAGTCATTAATGGGTGTTGAATTCTTTTACCGCATCAATTGATACGACCCTGTGATAGTTCTTCTTTAGCCTGTTCGTGGTGGATCACGTTAAGATTACTGAGTCTCACGTTGCTGGAATAAATCCCCAGGCCATGCATTGTTTTGACATGTACTGGATTAAATCCCCCAAGAGTTTGTTGAGAACTTCTGCGTGTGTGTTCATGTGGGATGTTGGTTTGTCTTGCCTCGTGCTGTCTTTGACTGGGTTTAGTATCTGGGTAACGCTGGCCTCATAAAGTGACTTGGGAAGTGGTCCGCCCTTTTCTGTCTTCTCGAAGGGATTGGTGGATTGGTGTCGGAGCATCTCATACGCTATTTGGAATTCTCTGTAAGGAAGATTGGCCTCTTCATTTGTTTCTTTATCCCATTATTTATATCAGTATAGACTTGTGACTATTAATTTTATGCTTTGGGTTATAACAAAATACAACATTTTAAAGTATATCTTGCCCAAATCGTGCCAGCCTTTGCCATGGGTAGTTCTTTTGTGTGGCTCCTGTGTCCCTCTGACATGCCCCATCCTTTCTCTTTATTTTAAAAAATATTTAGCACATCTTTCCTCGCTGGCTCTACAAGATGCTGCAGGCTTGTGTGTATTTTTCCCCGACCCAGCTTTCGAATCAGCCATTTTTTCCCATGAGAAATGGAATTTTTAGAACTGAAAACTGCAATAAATACAACATTGGAGAGTGATCCATAGAAATCAAGATCTGGGTCCTGCTGAGACTTACCTTGTTTTTTCCTGGATAATGGATTTCATTTCTGTTTGACTTATAAACAGTACTATAATTAGAGGGAAACGTTATTTCTAATAAAGAGCACATTTTAGGCTTGAAGGTGTATGAGGAACTTGTTTTTTTACATAGTTTGGGAAAATAACTGAATCTTAAGGAAACACTTAAATGTGTAATCTTCATTTTTTAGTAAGGAAGGGGATGATAGCAAGCCTGTGATCATTCATCGGGCCATTTTGGGGTCAGTGGAGAGAGTGATAGCCATCCTGTCGGAAAACTACGGGGGGAAATGGTAAGTGATGCGGAAAGGAAAATGTGTCTGTTCTTAGAAATCATGTCTAACAGATAAAATTAACACGAAAAAATGGCTGCTCCTGCCTTATAATTAGCAAGTAACCAAACAGCAAATAAAAAATTCTTGTTACATCTGCCAAATCAGAAAACAAAGGCAGAGTGACATGAAACTGTCTCATTTCCTTTTTGGGGAACCTGGTAGAATTGTAGAGTTATCTTCTCACCATTTCAAGCCCTTCAAAGTTGCTGTCTGGAAACATACGGCCCATACTCCCAGGGTACCACCTCCTGCCACCCTGCCGCCCCTCCTTCAACCTGCATTATTTATGTCCTGGGGTGCCCTGTGACCATTGACCTTGGAGGAAACGCCAATGCGCAAATCCAAAGGGAGTTGCTACCGTAGCGCAGCCCCCTTAGGGATGAAGTGGTGAAGGTAAATGCCCTCAAATGCAGACTCTGAGTGGACTGTCTTGTAGTCAGTCCTCTCTGCCTGGAAGGAAAATGGCCCCGACTATGGAGTGACATTGATGTAGGCTTTGGCTACAAGGTCAGAGACGTAAGAAACAATTAGATTGGAAACTAGATGACAGGTAGGTTTGGGGGAGAAGAATGTGGACGGTGGCTCAGTGGGTCGTGAGGGAGGTGGTGCCCACGCAGAGGCCCCCACCGCCAGGAGCTTTTCAGTGCTGACATCCAAGGGCCACTCTGTTACCATCTGCTGCTCGGCGGCTGATGAACAGAGTGGCCCCTAGAGGGCACCCCCGAGCTCAACAGCACGCCCCTCCCCGTGGTCACCTGCTGGGCCTCTCCTGAGGACTCAGTCCGCCCTCAGGTGACACCATAACCCCAAGGGAGCAGCCAACTCTCTTGTGGCAGGTTGATGATGTGGGTCCCTGTCACCATGCAAGGGCCAGTGACCTGTCCCCACTAGTAAGTAGCACAATAGTCCTGACCATGGAAGTAATTTAGCAAAGGAAGTAAGGCATTGGGCCGGCATTGTGGGGTTCACTAGTGTGGTTAAGGGGTGTTTAGCTTCTCCACCTATCCGCCAACCCATTCTCCCCTCCCTTTCCTATCAAAATACCCAGTTTTTCCTCTTGTCCACTCTACTGCCTTTTAATTCTTAATATAATTTGGTTTGCTTGCACACCACTCTACAGAACCTGCTCTCTTGTAAAATCTTACTTTAAAAAAAATCTTTGGTTATTTTTTAATCATTTAATAAATGGTCATTCTGACAATACATATTTTTTCTATTTCCCAGGCCTTTCTGGCTGTCTCCTCGTCAGGTAATGGTCATCCCTGTGGGGCCAGCTTGTGACAAATACGCACTTCAGGTAAAATCAGAGACATGAAAGTACATTATAATCTTGGCATCTAGTGTGTGAAGGTTTGATTTGAAATGGATGCATGCCTTAAAATACTGCATAACTAGCATATTCATTTACCAACCCATGTTTTCAGTCATTGGAAGTAACACCTCAATTGTGCCTATTTACTGCATCAGAACTATTTTATTTCTTAATTTTTTTGAGAAATTGCTATTTTAAAGCATCTCACATTTAAGTTATTCTTTTCCATGTGGTTCGATTAGGGGAGAATACTTATATATCTATTGCTGTGTAACAAACTACCCCAAAACTTAGCAGCTTAAAACAACAAATCCTCATCATCTCACAGTTCCTGTGAGTCGGGATCTGGCAGCGGCTTGGCTGGGCGATCCTGGCCCGGGGCGCCTTGTGAGGCTGCAGGGACTGACAGCCGCCTCTTTAGAGGCCTCAGCTCCTCACTGCACTTCACAGAAGTGGCCTGAGTGTCCTCCCAGTGTGACAGCTGGTTTCCTCCAGAGGGAGTGATGCGGAAGACGTGGCAGCTGCAGGGTGTCTCAGGAGTGACGCCATCACTCCCACCCCTCTCTGTGGCCATGCAGACCCTCATACAGAGTGGAGGGAGCGACACAGAGCTGTGGGTCATCTCGGAGGCTGGATAATGTAATAATAGAGTGTGCATAATGTAATAATAGAGTGTTTTATATTCTTGCAGGTCTCCAGTGCATTTTTTGAAGAAGGATTCATGGCCGACGTTGATTTAGATCATAGTTGTACACTAAATAAGAAAATCCGAAATGCACAGCTGGCTCAATATAATTTTATTTTGGGTAATTTAAATTTGTATCTATTCTCCTAAATGCTTCTTTTTTTGCACTTTAATTCTAAAAGCCAAAATAAAGACTATGGTATAACTGCTTGATTATACCATATCAGTTTAACTGTTGAATTACTTATATGCAAAGGAGAGTGTGTGGTGTTCCTGGGAAGGCTTTTTGAAGAGTTATAAAGTTTCATATGAACCCTGTAGTCTAGTAATACCAGCAAGAATTAATATCTCAGATCAATGATGGAAAAAATTGTGAAAATGATCACATCAGTAGAATTAGATTCCTTACATTTCAGCATGTAACAGGCCTAAAATATTCTCCTTTGCTTTTCTGGTTTATTAGAAATCTTTAGGATTAAACTAAGGAGTGGAAAAAGTTCCAAATTTAAGATGATGAAAAGAAATTAAGTGAAATGAATGATTGAATGAACAAACTGAAGTTTTGACTGTAAAAATGATTCAAAATCAAGAAAAATTGATATTGCTATACCTGTAGGCCCGATACTATCTCCTGAAAGTTGAAAGATTCTGTGGAAGGGAAAATAAATATGCATCGAGTTGTCCTGTCAGTTTGTCATCAAAAGTGTTTGACTCTGTAGTAGGCACGGTGATGTTTCAGGCTTCTTGTGGCAACAGAAATTTCATACAGCTTAGATGAAGACAGTGTTTATTGGAACACTCATTTACATGGAATGTAGAATTAAACAGCCAGACCGTTAGAAGGGTAACTGGATGGAGGAGCGCAACTCTTACCAGGACTGTTACTCCCCATTTCTGGTCCCTGTTTTGGTCTGGTTCTCTTATTTTTTTAAAATTTATCTTTACTGTTAAAAGTATTATAGCTGTCCCCCTTTTTTCCCCCCATTGACCCCCTCCACCCTGCTCCCCACCCCTCCCCAGGCCTTCCCCACACTATTGTCTGTGTCCGTGGATTATGCATATATGCGTGTAAATTCTTTGGTTAATCTCTTCCTGTCCCCACCCCTTCGCTCTGAAATTGGTCAGTCTGTTGCATGCTTCAGTGTCTCTGGGTCTATTTTGTTTGTTAGTTTATTTTGTTCATTAGATTCCACTTACGCTCTGATTCTTTATGCTTCCCTTGGAGAGCTGCACTGTTCCCCTTACTTGACGACAAATTTGTTCCTTCCAGATAGCGAGAAATGTGACAGATTCCTGAATCCTCTCCCAGTATGGGTCACTAGAGAGGACACATTTTTTTACCTGCATTCCAGAAAATTCTGGGTGGCTGGGTGGGCCACCCCTTGGTGCGCCAGGGTAGGGTGTCCGTAAGAGCTCCCTGCTCCCATTTGTACCCCAGGACCACAGTCGGTGTTCACTCAAGAGGACAGGAGAGATGGGATTGGAAGTCCTTCCTTCCCTCAAGAAAGTTTCTGTCAGATGCCCACCTACTGGTCATCAGGTGGCTTTGTAGTGATTAACACTGCAGAAAACTCAATTAGATGCATGTTGTGTGACTGCCCACTTGATAGTATTTAAATTCTTGATTTAAAAATGTTATTTCCCTCTCTGTTCTACAGTGGTTGGAGAAAAAGAAAAGGCAAACAACGCTGTAAACGTTCGAATGAGGGACAACAGAATCCATGGAGAGATTTCACTGACTTCCGCCATTGATAAATTGAAGAGTCTCAAGGAATCACGTACACTAAACGCTGAGGAAGAATTTTGAAGTCCTTCCTTGTAGTCCCTTCTATGCAGCCTTGTTTTGACCCCCCGAAGATGCATTTTTCTTAAGTAATGTTAGTACTTCTGAGAATTTTGGACCCATTGATGGTTCCTCTGCTGGGAGCAGTGAGAGGAGACAATGAATGAATAGCTGATATGGACAAAGTTTAATTCACTAATGTGTCTGAGGACAATACGGGGACAGGCCTGGGAAATTTTTTATTTCCCAAATGTCTTGAGAGTCTAAATGGGCAAATGTTATTCATTGAAAAACGGAAATACTGGGAAATGAGGATTATGAGACGTTATTGCTGAGAGTTATGATTTTCAAAAAATAGGTTTCAAATAAAAGTCTGCAAAGCTTTTTGGAATATGGAAGAAAATCTTATTTTCTAATAACATTATGTTCTCATTTGTTTTACCTAAACAACGACCACAAGAGAAGAAGCTAATACTGAATATTGGGTTATTGACAACGGACTCAAATTCAGTACCATGGAATCTACTCCTGTTTGCACCGCAGTTTAAGAGTTGCTGTTTTAAATCTTCTGACAATTAAGCCTTGTTCATCTTTTAAAAATATAAATTTCCAAATACAATTCATTACAGTGTTTCAGCTGTGGGTTTATCCACAATATCTGCTTCCCTAGAGTTAAATGACTTATCTGATGGGATGACAGTGCACTGATTTCTGTGCTCAAATGGATTTCTGATTTTAACTCACAAATTCCTTACTAGTTGGGACACAATTAAATTGGCTTTATACCAATAAAGGATTTAACTACCAGTCAAGAAGTATTTTTTAAGTGTTTATTGGGCTACGTACTGTGAAATTCAAACCAAGTTTAAGACATGCTCTCTCAACACCTTATCGTTTCATTTCCTGAACAGTTGGCAAACAAAACAGTATTTGATATGTATCAGCCCTTACAGTGCTCTGAGGTGTAAATTGTATCATTTTCAAGCTAGTATTTATTGAGGCCAAACACTACTTGATAATGTATTTTTTTTCAGTCTCCGGCCTGCGAGTGAGGCAGCGGGAGGTCAGGTGGGTGGGGAGAGCATGTCAACAGCCCGGGACGAAGGGTGCTGCTGGGGACGAAGGGTGCTGGGGACGGGCGCAGGTCCCAGGAGGCGCAGGAAGCCTGGGGTCTGGGGAGCATCGGGAAGGGGCCGGGCCCGGGGACAGGCGCGGGTCCCAGGAGGCGCAGGAAGCCTGGGGCCTGGGGGGCATCCGGGAGGGGCCGGGCCGTAGACCCTCGTCTTACACCCAGGGCTCCTGTCCCCGTGCCTGGGGCCTGCAGACAGCCGGCCGTGCCCAGTGTCCGGCCCGCCCGCCTTGGAGGGACCCCGGGAAGCCGCCGGGGCCCTGGAGGGGCTGCGAGCGGGATCGCGCAGGCT